ATTTTCACGATATGTAGTTTACCGGTAAACCTGTTACGTTACCAGAAGTAACAGAAGGATTAGGTTGATGCATATGTTTTTAACCCCGACTTTTTTGTAAATATCTCAATAGCGAACCAGCCTGAAGAGGTATGCACCATCACCATCCACTACTCGACGCCAACGCTCAGGCAGCTTGTCGATTCCATCGTCCCAGAAGGACGGGGGCTGGGACCCGAAGAAGGCCACAATGCCGCACAATCACCACTGTGACATGGTTTTGCACTGGTAATTGTGCGGCATTGTAGCCTGCAAATGGGTGAGTGATAGCTAGTGTGGTGAAAGAGTATCATGTACACGTCACGCACACGTGATGACGAAATACCAACCTCCATGCAAACGAAATACGGAAGGATCAAAACAGGGGGGGGGCTCATGCAACAACCTAATAAACGATTCTCAAACATTGGTAAGATGCTCCTCCTGTGCATAACAGCAAAATTTTGGAGAGTTGGTTAGGTGCATAGGTGGGTTGTGGGAAAAGAACTTTTGGGAGAGGGATTTCAGAGTGTTTTGAGCTACAGGTCGTATTCGGAAAAATTCTCCCCAATGTCGGAACGTGCCCATAGGCAGCGTTCAGACTTCGCTACGCCAGCGCCCCGGTCGCGCGTTCGACGCGATCGATGCGCATGCTTTCGACTGCATCGATCGCGTCTAACGCGCGACCTAGGCGCCGAAGTCTGAACGCTGCCTAGCCTAGTATCGCACAATGCTGCCTACCGTTGAAGACGTAGAAATTTTCAGCCATCAAATTTTGACCGTTTATTTCACCATTGCTTCTGCCTTTCTGACAATCAATTGCTTATTAGTTGACAACAGCTTATTGCTGTGCCTTTTGTATATTACATCGGAGGAGCCAAGCTCATTGGAAGGTTAGTAGTGTTGACAGTGAGTGCGACCAAAATTCAGATTCTTGATTCAATATACTAGTAAAGACAAACTCTACATTCACCCCCGACAATGCTTTTGCTACGAGCGAGGAGAATAGGTTCATAGCTGCGGTAGCGTGCAACTTTCTCCACTCAAAGTGCGTGGGAGCATGGTGTCGCCCGAGTGCCGTCTTCGAATTCCGCTCGCGCTATCCTCAAGATGCAGCAATACGCGTCATTTGGCTGAGACGGGCAGACTAGTGGCGCCTTTGGCTATGGTTAAGAGTGTGTCCGATCACGAAATAGTGCGGCGGAGTATAGGACGATGCCCGGTCATCATTACCCTCCATCCCCCTTCCCGTGCATTTTTGACCGTAGAAAACCCGCTACTGCAGCTGCAGACCCATTCTCCTCGTATATGGCAAGGAGGACCCACGGAGGTGAGTGTGCAGTTGGTCTCCAATCATTAGAGGCGCGATCAGGTGATGAAGTGACCTTAGGAGATGTAGAGAGTATGAGGTGTTTTTGGATGCCACTCAAACTTCTAACTTCGATATCTACCAGAAAATGCTTTGAACAAAATTACGAGGGTTTTTCGAATGGTTCCACCCACGACCAGCATTCAAGACAATTTCCGCGATCAAGTGTAACGGGTAGTAGGTGCCCAATCGAGAGGGCAAGAGAATCGTAATTTGGCACTCAACCGCGTGCGGCGATGAGCGCGGCGTTTCTTAATTCGTGTTACCTGACGATTAGAGCACTGGACTTCATGTAGACCCCGTCATCCTAGACATCCCTGACTATTTTCAGTTCTGGATTACCTGTTGTCTCCAGCTACTACCGGTACCATCGTTATAGAGGGCGCGAAGTCGCATGCGCGCCCATCAGCGCTGTGAATTCAGATTCTCTTGTCACATACCCAGCTCCATCAGCAGGATACGACGTGCAACCAGTTCCAGGCAGGAGCACAGTAAATCACCCTACGACGCTCCAGGCAACGCTATGTACACACGCAATTACGCTTGTAAGCCGTTGTCTCGCAGAATGAAAGTAATTATGGTTGCAATGGTCACAATAATCGCGCGTCTCCAGCTTCTTTATCTGGACGTTTCGAGTGACGTGGCGAGTGGTGTAGATCCCCTGCGAATGCGGACAACGATGCCAAATGGGAGGGGCATTTCGCGGACCATTTGATCGTGGAAACTGTTTTTAACCACAGCGACCGGATGTTTCTATGAAAAATCCGATATGCCAATAAACTGTGCATACTTTAGAGCAGCTCCAACTCGGAAGCTCGCACAAAACGGAAAACGAGAATGTTCAGGAAAAGCGAATTCAGATTATTCCAGCTGGCTTCTTGCATAGGTTTGTACTCATCATTTACCACAAGAACGTCCATACTTGACGAAGGCCGTGCCTTCCAATGCTAGAATCCAAGAAAAATCGGCTACATATGGGGGAGAGACACGTAGTGAGAGTGAGAAAGAAGCAGTCATCAAATGGCAAGACCAGGCGAAAAGAGACGAGGACAAAACAGTAAAGAACCGCACAGCAGAAGCAGCTAGGAAATTGAATGCGTGAGAATTAGAGTGATATGGTGAATAATGAAATGGGCAGGGAGTATTAGGCATAATATACGCGGCAGTGGTGTAGTGACAAGTGGCACGGTTACCATGCGCCTTCGGGTCCCGCCTAGGACAAACAAGCCAGATCTGGTACCATATTCTTCTGGGAGGATAAGATGAGGGAGCCAGCCGGTGTCCATGGACTTGGACATCGGCTGGCTCCCTCAAATATTGTATAGGGCGCCATCACATTCAGTAAGCAGCTAGGAAGTTGAATGCGTGCCGCATCCCACAAAGGGATTGATCAACGGTGAACATCTCACCCTTCATCTACAAATAAGGTGGCTAGGAGGGGTTGAGAGAGAACGGGGATAGAAGGTGCTATTGTGTGGACGAGGAAAGGGCGAATAGGTGAAGCCGGAAAAAAAGAGCGCAGTGATAGAACAAAATCATTCAATTTACCTCTCTCCGACCGCTCTTCTCCTCGTTTTAGCTCTTATTTTACAGTGGTCGTTGAAATGGTCTATACTCTCTACATGTACGCGAAAGCCTTTATCTTCCCGATATTTAATCTGTCGTCCGAAATCTACTACACATTCTACAGTGCTCTCGGGTAAGGGATTTCTTATGACTAATGTAAGAAGCCGGCGCAGTTCGGCGGCGGGAGGGGACGGGGGGATGGGAGCATTTCGCACTTCTGCTACTTCCCATCGACGTGTGAACCTATCTAGACAGCCTCTTCTCGAGTTGACAGGTTTTAACATGATGGCTTGACGACCTTGCTCCAGGTTGCAAGAGTTCACAAGTTTCGCCACAGTGAGACTTGTAATCCGGAACCAGGGAAGCAACGATAGTAACAATGCCCCTCCCCCACATCGCGAACTGCGCCCCAGAAACCTTTGGAAAAATTTATAAGCTGCGTTTGGTTGACGAGCCCATCCGCGGCGTCTTCACCACTGTTTGTTTTCTTCTTAAATCGATCAGTACTTGTTCATTATTGGTGGAGAAGGCAGCAGAGCAAGCCTTATTTCTCACCTCCTATTATCCGAGCCAAACGCAGCCCACTGACACGTCCCAGACGACCAAGCAATGCAGATTCGATGCCGCATTCCGGATATTCTGAACATCCCGTGACATCTGCTGATTAATCAGTGCTTCAGAGATATTTATGCTGGTATCGGTGCTTATCTCCTCTGGATCTTCAGCGATGCTCTTCGTCATTATGTCTGTACAAAGCTGAGAATAAGGAAGCCAAAGGCTCAACTTCGTTCTTCAGTCATCTTCATTAACGTACGTACTGAGTGATTATGTAGGTGTTAAGCTGCGTTTATACTTTGTGGCAGCGTACGCCAGCGTACGCTAGCGTTTCCAGCGTTCGCCAGCGTCAGGAAAAGGATTAATCCAGCATCACCGGAGCGTACCTAGCGTACGAGGAGGCAAGAAAAAGCATAGGTTATTGGTGTTGTGGCGCAACCGCTAATACCGGTACTACTGGACGGTATTGGCGGTTGCGACCTACACACGCTTCACACGTACGGCATAATCGAGCGTATTTTCTGCCATCCTACTCTCCATATACCTCTACTGATCGCTGGTGGAAAACATTGAAACCTAGATGGATACCTAATGCTTCCTTTCCCTCCACTACGGCACGCAGCTATGATGCGTTTATCATCCTTTTTTGCCACTGCCCCCCATCGAACGGTTACGTGACAACTAAAACTTTTGGTGGGGGTCCTGCCACGATAGGCCAGAGCGCAGAGCAATAAGGGACTGCCACTGCCAAGGCATCGTGAGGTACAAAAAACACGATGCGAGCCAGGAGATGAGTTTTTTCGAGGGGAAGGGATAGCGGGGTGGATGAGCCAGCGTGAAAAGTTGGAATGTGAAAGGTCAAAGTGGCCATAAATCGCCATCCAGGCAAGAGAGCGCAGAGAAAAGAAGAAAGTTGGCGCCATTAAAGGGATTGAGTTTTAGCTGTCCGTAGACCCGGCGAACGCTTTAAACGCTTGCGTACGTTGGCGTACGCTACCGCAAAGTATAAACACAACCCCATTAGCGATATGCTTCTTGGAAGAATATCG